AGGAAAATCCAAAATCTCTGTCTTGTGTCAGAAGATCCAAAATTAAGTGACTATTCTTTTTTTTTTTTTCTTTGAGACAGGGTTTCTCTGTGTATCTTTTGTGCCTTTCTTGGAACTCACTCTGTAGCCCAGGCTGGCCTCGAACTCACAGAGATCCACCCGGTTCTGCCTCCCAAGTGCTGGGATTAAAGGTCTGTACCACCACTGCCCAGCTCTTAAGTGACTATTCTATTGCTATTTTGACTCTTTAAAACTTTTCTTAAGCTCTAAATATTATCTCCAAATTTATAAGATGTATACATATATATACATATATATGTATGTATATGTATGTATATATATATATATATCACTTTTTTTGTTTTTTTTTTCGAGATATATATCACTTTTGTCATGATATTAACGGTCATATAGAGTACCAACTAATTCTAGAAAAAGGCCTCATCTAGTTTCCTGTACATGATTTCAAGTTTGAGTCTCTACCAGGTAACTAGGAATTAAGTTTTTTGTACTCTGGGTATACATAACAAATTATGGTTCTTTAACCTCTTCAAGATCTGCTGCATATGACATTTAAAATGTTTAAGTTTTCTGCAGTGAATCATGACCATGCCTAACAGCAACCTTTGAAATCTCCAAAAGAAGGATGGGGCCCTACAACAATTCCACTGGAACTGTGGTACTAAGCTGACAAACACCACCCTAAAATCAGCTTTGGACTACAAACTGCTCAGGACAATTTCAAGGTGGCTAGCTGAGATGGTCCAGCCTCACAGACTACTCTAGCTAGGACTTGAGACAAACTCTGCATTTTCCAAATTACATAGAGACTAGACAACAAATGATACAGCTAGCTCTCCCAGGACTTTACGATTATCCCAAGTTTTTTGGGGGTCTCCTAAAGATGCCATCACCCCCAGACAGCAGGAAGTAATTTCAAGTACATGACACCCACATTCTCAAGAGGTGGGGTGGGTGGTTTTTGTTTGTTTGTTTGTTTGTTTTGGTGGGCTATGGATATTTGTCATTGTTTTGGGGGGTAAGTTACAAGTTGTCACTGGTAATAGGAAAAAACTCCTTGAACAAAGGAGATTAGTTTCAGAGATCTTGTTTTGAAAAGAAATAGGGATATAGAAATGAAAGGATAAAAGCGTAGATTATTAAATCTACTTTTAAATCAAAAAAGCAAGTACTAGTCTTAAATATTTTGTATTGGTATGGATTTTTGTATATGGATATAAATTTGAGATTATTTTTGTAAGAACATACCATATATACATTTCTACTCTTGTTCAAGGTATTGTACCTATTCAGCTCATTTAACAATGTAATACTCCTAGTCCTTGAAAGTTATTATTACAAATGATTTAGGATAATAAAGAAATGCAGGTTAGTAGGTAGTCACCTATTACGATCACACTTGTAGTCATGTTAAGTATGTTTTCAAGGTCAAACAGAGATATATTTCAGATAGATAAGTGGTCTTCAAACACTTCAGAGATCTACAGATTAAGGCATTTAAGATGTTTTAATGGGGGCCGGAGAGATGGCTCAGCAGTTAAGAGCACTGGCTGCTCTTACAGAGGTTCTGACTTCAATTCCCAGCAACCACATGGTGGCTCACAACTGTCAATAGTGGGATCTGAAGCCCTCTTCTGGTGTGCAGGTGTACATGAAAATAGAGCACTCATATACATAAAATAAATCAAGATCTGAAGCCCTCTTCTGGTGTGCAGGTGTACATGAAAATAGAGCACTCATATACATAAAATAAATAAATCTTTTTAAAAAAGATGTTTTAATAACATAAAATCCTTTTTTTTTTCTTATGACATTGAGACATATCTGCTCCTGGCAGCACCAATCTACTTCAGAGAAGATGATGGGCATTGAAAAAACTCCATATTCAGTTTACTTTCTTTGTGGCAAAAGCCAGCCACTGGGCAAGAAATGCCCTTGCCTCAACTGCTGACAGTATGCTGTCCAAATTGGACAATTAGGACACAAAAGTAATTGACAATGGAACTTTGCCAAGACAAGGCAGAACAGTCCTTCAAAAATTCTGCTTCACAGAAAAGTCTGTCAGATATTGTAGGACTGTAGGCCAAAGAAGGATGTCCCAACTTTACAGAGGAACCTTGGGTGACTGTGCAGACAGCCAACTGTTTCTGTTATTTCTTAGTTTTGGAAGTTATTTGCTCTGCAGTTCTTGTTTACTTAGGTAATATTATATCCTTCTCAGGTCTCTGATGGAGTTGAAGACTGGGTGGTTATAGTTTTCTTTGTTACCAAATTCTTAAAAGAAATTCACAAAACAGGTGTAAACTGTGTAAGGTTGAGAGACATAAAAGGATAGGTTTGGGTTGGTAATCCAAGTTAGGATAAAAAGTGAATTAGGTACAACCTTTTGAACTCACCAAGATAGGATAGATAATGGAGCATTTTCTCTGAATTTGCCAAATGAAAATGGACTAGACATTGTTAATGTATTTATTGCCTATATATATTTGTATGTAGTTATTGTACTTATTATATATAGTTTTACTATGTTAGCTTAAAAACCTTTGCTTTTTATTTAGGCAAAATGGGGGAAATGTTGTGTGATGCTTTGACTGGGTTCTGACAACTAAAGCTTGCTTGGCGTCAGAGGGTGGAGCTAGCCACTAGCTGATCTTAGGGGTTTCAAAGACTGTAGACAGAGAAGAGACAGGAAATGGTAAGGCAGGGTTGAGACTATCTCAGCCCTTTTGGATGGAGAAACAGGAGAGGTAGGAAGCAACTGGCAGCTGCTCCCGGTTCTCTGATCTTTTAGGTTCTTACCCCAATATTTGACCTGTGTTTTTTTATTGATAAAGATTAATTAAATGCTTCAGAACTTATTTCAATTTTTATTACAAAAAAAAATAAATCCACAGTTTATGGATTTTGAACCATTATGAAGAGTCCAGCATGTAAAGCAGATCCATACCGTGTAGTAAAATTCCCAGAAAGAAGCAGTGACCACAAGACTGACTGATCAGAACTACAGCAGTGGAGTTTTGAATGTTGCATATCTGGAGCCAAATTATATTGACACATGTTATTCTCCTGTGCATGTGACCTAACCTCTTTATTACATTGAGACATTTTATTCTCCTGTGCATGTGACCTAACCTCTTTATTACATTGAGACATTTTATTCTCCTGTGCATGTGACCTAACTTCTTTATTACATTGAGACATTTTATTCTCCTGTGCATGTGACCTAACCTCTTTGTTACCATTATGTAGAATCTTTGGGATGTTCAAAGTTCAGACTCCTAGTTTCCAGCAATCAAGAGTTAAGAAATCCATCAAAAGGCACCTGAAGAGTATAACAAAGTCACCATCACCTCCAGTGTTGCTAAAAATCCTACCAATCTGATGTGCCCACCAATGTATTTGAAAAGTATGTAGATTTGTTGTTCTGTTTCTACACAACTTCTTAAAATTGGAACATGGAATGGTGTAGAGAGCTGTGTGTAGCCGCGCCTCAAAGATGGCGCTGGCTTCCGCCTTCCACCCTCCCTACGGTGAGTGCTCTCTGTGATAAACAACTCCTTATTTGGCTAAGGCTAAGGATTTGGCTTGCTTCCACGTACCTGGGCCTATCCACAGTACCCACGTGGCAGATTGGGGTTGGCTGCCCAGAAGCTATTTAGGTTGTGGGTTGGCTTTCCCCGGGGTCAGAAGATTGTTTCCAGGTTCCTGAATAAACTGCTTGGAGAAGAACCTGGTGTTGCGTCTTCCTTGCTGGTCGAGGCGGACGTTAACAGAATGGAATTTGGGATAAGGTGAACCTGTGTGGCCATATTTGGCTCCAGAATAAATGGTATTTTATTTTCTTTGTCTTAATGTTTCTGTTGCCACAGTGAAACATCATAACCAAAAAGCAAGTTGGGGAGAAAAGGGTTTATCTGGCTTATGCTTCCACATTGCTGTTCATCATTGAAGAAGTCAGCACAGGAACTCAAACAGGCCAGGAACCCAGAGGCAGGAACTGATGCAGAGGCCATGGAGGAGTGCTGCTTACTTACTGGCTTGCTCAGCCTGCTTTCTTATAGAACCCAGGACCACCAGTGCAGGGATGGCACCACCCACACTGGGCTGAGCCCTCCTCCATCAATCACTAATTGAGAAAACGCCTCATATTATGGAGGCATTTTCTCCTCATATTATGGAGGTTCTCTCCCTTACGATAACTCTAGCTTGTGTGTCAAGTTGTCCTAGAAGAGCCGGCACACCCTCTGAGGTGAACTGTGTTTCCAGACTGACAAAATGATTAAGAATTTAAATTTTCACTGGGAAAACTATTCACTACACATTACCTTTTCCAAGTCCCAAACCAAAAACTTAAGGTCACATTGCTTCATTCAGGCCCCAAATGCAGACATTTTTACCTCCCATCAACTTGTATAACTCACACACTGTCTTTAGGCTATGAAACACAACCATTTATTCACTAATTCCCAAACTACTCAACGGACTGGTTTGACACAAATCTCTTCCCTTCATCTCCCACGCTACACCCCCATCCACGCTGCCTCTAGTTTGGCCCATGGTCCAATTAGAGGAGTCGCCTGACTAGAGGCCAATAGGGTTGCTCCCCGAGGACCTTATAGCTGCCACCGAAACCCAAGGCCAAAGTTAAGCAGGGAAGCAGGCCTCCTGCTGCTCTAGAAGGTTCTGGGCTCCTCTGCAGGCACCGGAAAAGCAGACGGTCCTGGAGTGCTGGGTCCTCGATCCACCGGGCCAGCGCTCCCGTCCCCGCTGGAGCCCTGCGGTGATCGCCCCGAAGCCGAGGCTGGCCCGCACCCCACACTAGCTGAGGGTAGACGTGCACCGCCAGGGAGGAGACCTCGGGCGAAAGTCCAGGGGTAGTGACGCCGCCTTGCAGCTACTTGACCTCCGGGAACAGAGAGAGGGCGGAGCCTTGACCCTGCGCATGCGCTTCCTGCCGGACCTGTGTGCGCATGCGCGGGGACTAGAAGGCGCGGGTTGCTAGTTTGCAGCTTTGCTTGGTGATTATTGTGCTTTAAAACCCTGCTGAGCCATGCAGCGACTTTGCCGTTGGAACTCCGTGAAACTAGGCTGGCTTTTCAGTAGGCGCTAGGGCTGCATTGTGGTGGCAGCCGACGCCACGCGGGGGAGAAGGTGCCTGTGAGGGGCGTACCCTCTTGCCATGAAGAAGATTTTTGGCTTCAGGAGCAAGGGCCCATCGCCGTTGGGCCCCTCCGCCCGCCCGCGGAACAGCTCCGTGGGCTTTGGACGCGTGAGTGCTGGTGGCTCCCACATGCCCAGGTACCACATTCACGACAAGGATATGGGCAAGATCCACAAGGCTGCAAGCGTGGGTGATGTAGCCAAAGTGCAGCACATCCTTATCCTTGGGAAAAGTGGCGTGAACGATAGAGATAAGAAGGACAGGTAATAAATAGGGCTAGCGGGGCGGGACGTGGCCGGTGGGGGAGCATGCACCTTGTCTGGCTTCCGGGCTGGAAGGCAGGGCCAGAGGCTGGCTTTCACTAAGGAAGCTTGACTTCCCACCTTGCGCTTGGATGCCTAAGCCTTGGTGGGGTCTAGAGCGCGCCCCTGGATGAGTGGCAAAGACAGCAACAGGAAAACACTGGCTGGCGTAAATCCACTTACAGTTCCCTTTATTGGCTATGTAAAGCGAGTTAACTAAACAATTTAATTATTTTGCACACATTTAAAAAACGTTTTCCACTGTAAAAATACATAATGGGAGAAATATTTCTGTTCAAGGTTAAAAATTCTTCCAGTAATATCCAATAATATATTAACGTACACCTGTGTGAATGTACATTTCTGCTACATTTTGAAGTAGGAAAATAGTTCTATGTTCTCGAGTAGAAGACTGATAATTCCCAGAATGTGAACAACGTATCCTTACCACTTTTACATAAACCGAGTAAGAATATCACGTCTTAGCAATTTTGAGTTTCTCATGCTGCTTTTGATTTTGTGATGACACTGGGAAAAACCTTTCTAAAGTATCAAAACATGAGTTTTCACAGTCAGTCATTTATCAGCAGCAAAGAGACACATCAGTGAGCAGAGCAGAAATGAAAACCCAGAAGTACCCAATCAAATATAGGTAAGAATTTAGATACTGATTCTGGTAACACCCCTGTCAGTAGGAAACATGACCTTCATAAGCTTGTGAATTTGTTTGGAGAAAACTAGCTACAGGTTTATGTCACTAAACTAAATTCCTGATAGATTGTCATTTAAACATCAGAAAAAATGAGAAAAGTATCAAAACAAATAAGACTAAGAATGACTACAAAAACACTCTGTCATGTATGTGTGTCTGTGTGTTGGGGACTGAAGGCAGGTCGTGGTGTATGCTCAGGATACATTCTACCATCAAGCTTTTTAAAAGCCTAAAATGAACCATTCTAAAGACCTGACTAAGCAAAACCAAGGATAAAGCAACTGTATAATTGCACAGTATTCACATTACATATATATGAATATCACATAACCATCATCATTTTACAGAGAATTTTTAAGTTAATGCAGAAAACCTCAAATCTAAACTATTATTATTATTATTAATATTGTTATATTTACTCATTTGTGTATTGTTGCTAGGGGTGAAACACATGGCCTTGGAAATGCCAGGCAAGTTCTTTGGGACTGAACTGGATCCCTAGCCCCTGAACTCTTAATTTAATTTGCATAAAGTTTTTTTTTTGTAGATTCATAATAATCTATGGACAGTAGAGCAATATTTTGTGTCTGTGGTAAGAGCAGGAACGTAAGTTGAGAGAGAAAAGAAATGGCACTTTCCAGGGCCTCCCTCTATGAGGATGGTGAGCAGTGGGACTTCCGATGTTCACATTGCTTAAGACTTTTCAAACAGACAAGTTGGTAGTAAGTATTCTACCACACTTTAAACATGTTTCTGTCTCTAAAATATATTTAGGAAATAATGAGGCCATTTCTCTTTCTTGGCACTGCTTAAAATAGCAGTGTATTAAGAAGAAGCTGGAAAATGTATTTTATAAGTAAATTACAGTCCATCCATAAGATGGAATATATGACCACTGAAGGTAGTGTAGATAAATAGATATGGATTCGCGTGGAAAGATGGTATATCAAGTAAGGAGAGGTCATACACACATGTGGTTATGATTATACATATACACAAAGTATGATCTCTCTTAGCCATAATATATTTAAAATGTGATAAAATAAAGAAAAAAAGAAAAGTTACTGATTTTTTTTAGATTATAATATAATTACATCATTTCCCCCTTCCTTTTCCTCCCTCTAAATGCTCCCATATAGCCCCCTTGCTCTACTTCAAATTCATGACCTTCTTTTTCATGAATTATTGTTACGTGCATATTTGTATATGTATATACATATGTACTTCTAAGTACAGCCTGCTCAGTCTGTGTAATGTTACTCATGTGTATGTTTTCAGGGCTGACCATTTGATAATGGATAACCAATCTGTGTACTCCTCCTTGGGAAGACCCCCCTCTCCCACTCTGCCCTTTCCTCGTTTGCCTATAGTTCTTTGTGTAGAGTTGAAACCTCACTGGCTTTTCCCATCCACTTTGACACATGCATTGGTGTTGTCCTTGTTCAGCTCACATTGGCCAGTCATGTCGGTGAGACTTTATGGGTATAACTTCTGACATTTCTAGGAGACACAATCTCACAGTAAGCTCCCTGTCCTTGACTCTTAAAATCTTTTTACCCCTCTTCTGCTATGATCCCGAGCCGTAGGTGAAACAGTTGTTTTGTAGATGTATCCGCTGGGGCTGGACTCCACAGCTCTGCGGTTCGGCTGGTTGTGGTTTTCTGTGATGGTCAGTTGCAAAGAGAAGTCTCCTTGATGCGGGGTGAGGACTGCACTTACCTGTGCTGTAAGGACAAATAGTCAGGATGTAGTTAGGGATTGTGCTGGTTTAGTTAAGTGGTGGTTGTAGGGTCTTCCCCAAGATCCATGACTTCACTAGTCCTGGGTAGTTGTCTAGATGTTCAGTACCAGACATGCTTTCATTCTTGTTGAATGGCCTTAAGTCCAGTTAGGGTGCTGTTGGTTACCATCCAGGTATTCGTGCCGCTACTGAACTGTTAGGGTCATAGTCCCATGCTGTTGTTGTTGTGGTCCACAGGCACCGTAGATGGGTAGGACTGTTGGGTGCGTCCCTCCTTTGGAAGCTTGTATGGCTCCTTCTGGGACCATAAAAGGTGGTCCTCAGGGAGGAGATATTCGGGTCAGTTCCAGCTCAGTGGTCTCTGGGCCCTATGTCTGAAGTGCATGGTGTTTTCAGCAGTAGGAACTCAACATTCTGCCTCTGGGGGCAACCAAACGTTACTGTTTTTTATGTTGATTTGTATCCTGATCTTTTTTTTTTTTTTTCTGTGTGTGGGGGTTGGGGTGGGAAGCTTCTACTTTCTTGGTATGTCTGCTTCCATCCTTTAGTTTGTGTGGCTTTGTCAGTGAGATGTGTTTCCTTTAGAACACAGTTGCTTTTTACTCCAGCCAATAAGACTGTATGTAGTGTTATTGTGGGGTTTGCTGGTTTCTGTGATCTCCCCCACCCCATCCCACTGGTTCAGATATGGTTTGTTCTTTTGTATTCATGGTGTAGAGGTTTGGTGGTGTGCTTTTAGTCCTCCTCCACCTCCTAATTCTCATTTGTTTATCTGCTCCTGTCCTGAACCATGTGTTACGGTTGTCCTTCCTCCTTGTGAGTAACATCCGTCCTACTGGCCTGATGTCCTGAATTCCTTTACTTTGTGCTTGTCTTAGATGTTCCTTATTCCTGCCTTGGATTTTAAAAGACTAACCTTGCTGGATATAGTAATCCTTGTTGGTAGTTGTTTGCTTTACTGGCTTAGGCTATGTGGTGCCACATTTTCCTGGCTGTTAGGGTTTCTGCTGAGAAGTCTTGATGTTATTCTTCGGAGATTGGTTTGGTATGAGGGTGTCGAATCCCCTAGAACAGGAGTTACAGACAGTTGTTAGCTGCCATGTGGGTGCTGGGAATCCTCTGGAAGACCAACCAGTCCTCTTAACCACTGAGCCATCACTCCAGCCCCTTGCCATTTGACTCTATTGTGAGCCTAAAATTCTTTTCACATTAGAGGCTTTTGAGGCTCTAAATGCTTCATATACTTGGAAGTCCTTAAATTTGGGAAATTCTCAGCTTATATTTTCATTGACCTTTGGGGTTTTTGTTTGTTTGTTTGTTTGTTTGTTTTTTGTTTTTCAAGACAGGGTTTCTCTGTGTAGCTTTGCGCCTTTCCTGGAACTCACTTGGTAGACCAGGCTGGCCTCGAACTCACAGAGATCCGCCTGGCTCTGCCTCCCGAGTGCTAGGATTAAAGGCGTGTGCCACCACCGCCCGGCTGACCTTTGTTTTTTGTTTTACACTTTTAGTTTGTATTTTAGATCCTTAAATTAAATTGTATTTAATTTCTTAATTATGACATAGTTAATGAAAGTCATGATCATGGTTTTTTTGTTTTTGTTTTTTTTTTCTTGGTAAGTACCAATAAAGTGGTGTCCTTGACCTCGGGTCAATCTCTGACATTCTTCTGTTTGTTGTCGTCTGATGGTATTTTCCACTGTGGATTTTACTTATTTAATTTGTTTCAACATCTTTGCGTGATTTATTATCCATATTGTTGGGTTTTTTTTTTTCACCTCCTGAATTGAATTATTTCATTTATCTGCTCGTTTGAACATCATGAAACCACTCATTGTTTTACAAGCTGGACTTTTGCGTTCCTTACCTGGCATTCAGCCGCTCAAGCTTCTTGGTTTGGTGAACTTGTTGGAGGAATCATTGTCTTTTCTCTTCATATTGCCCGTGTTTTTCAGTTGCAATTGTGCACCTGTTGGGATACATGCCTCTTCTGGTTGGAGTTGGGAGTCTTGCTGAGCTGCTTTCTCTTGAGCGCTCAATCCCAAGTACTGCTCAGTAAGGCTACAAGCAACCACCACCACCAGTCACCAGAATAGCAGCACCCCTCTTTTAGCTGGTGTTGTATTGAGCTGAAGCTGGGTCTGGTCAGTTGTTAGTTTTAGTATGCTGTGCTCAGAAGAAGGCAGGGTCACCGGCTTCTGTGTCCTTCACAGCCCTTGCTGACTGCTGCCTTCGCTTGTCAGTGTGTTCATGTGGAAACTTCTCTAACTTCATGCCTGTCTCCATGTCTGCTACCCAGACCCTGTGGCTTCATGATAAGTAGAGTAGCCCAGTCTCAAATAACCAGCCCACACTCAGGATGGAACCTGGCCGTATCACTTGAGGAAATGGGAAGCAACAAAATACTTTTTTTTTCCTTCAGTGCTGACCTGTCACCCTGGAGTCGTCACTGTTGTACCCCTCTCCCCACTCCCACACAAATTGGAAGCATACATGAACTGTAGGCTTGCACTTTGGCTAGACTGTCATTCTGTTTTTTAAGGGGTGTGCGTGTGCGTGTGTCTGGCGCACCCACCCGCACACATGTGTGTGTACACACATGCATGCATGCCATGCTGTGCATGTGGAAGTCAGATGACAAGTTTCAGGAGTCAGTTCTCCTTTTAACATGGGATTTAGGGAGTGTACTCAGGTCATCAAGCTCTTGCGGAAAATGCCTTTGTCTGTTTCACGGATGAGAAAATGAGGCAGGGAAAGGCTAAGTGGTGGCTTATGAGTAGCAGACCTAAAAGAGTGTTGCTGTCCAAGTCAAGCTAAATCCAGGGGCTGTACTTCTTTGCAAATTGGCTGCTGGGCTAGGAACTAGTGGTTTATTTAGCTTGAGTCTCAGGCCTTCATTGCAGCACCACATACACATCCAGTAGGTGGTCCATGAATGTACTGCATGTGGTCCATGAATGTACTGCTGCCAGAAGAAAGAGGAGACATTACTTACTGTTTGCTGTTTACATTACATTACAGGAAATACGCTTTTAGATGATGCTCTGTAATTTACTAAAAAGCGCTCTCATTTTCACAGAACTGCTCTCCATCTTGCCTGTGCTTATGGCCATCCAGAAGTGGTGACTCTCTTAGTAGAGAGAAAATGTGACATTGATGCCTGTGACGGCGAGAACAGCACAGCTCTCATTAAGGTACATGGTGACCAGCGGTTCAAACTGAGATGGATTTGATTTAACTACTTAGGGGCGAAGAAATCTATTTCATTTAAATATAGTAATAACGAAATCTAAACTGTGCTTGTTTTGAACTCCTAAGCCGATTATCTGTTTCTTGATGCAATAACGACAGGCCGTGCAATGCGAGGAAGAAGAATGTGCAGCAATACTGCTGGAGCACGGTGCCGATCCGAACGTGGCGGACAGCAGTGGTAACACTGCCCTGCACTATGCTGTCCAGGGTGAGAACACCTCCATAGCAGCCAAACTGCTCGCACACGGTGCAAATATAGAAGCCAAAAACAAGGTATAATGACGACTTTATTTCCTAATAGCCAAAGTACATTCATCAGTGACATATTGCAATGGTTGTTCTTGTCACCATGATCGGATTGAGAGAACACACTTCTGTATTTTTGTGAGGGTATTTTCAGAAATGATTAGATCACAGGGACTCTGGATCTAATCAATGTTTTAACCCATTGGTGGAATCTAAGTTTGAATATAATTGCGCCTTAAAGGTACGTTCATTGTGATAAAAAGAATCCATACATCAGTATCGGAAACTCACGGATTAAACCATTGCCTTATTTTCTTTTCATTACATTTATTTGTGGATGTAGGACGTGTGTGTGTGTGTGTGTGTGTGTGTGTGTGTGTGTGTGTGTGTGTCACAGCAGACATGTGGAGGTCAGAGGACAACTTTCCGGAGTTGCTTCTCCCCTTCCACCGTCTGGGTCTCAGGGTTGAACTTGGGTTGACAGGCTTGGCAGTAAGAACCCTTACCTGCTGACCCATCTCCCTCCCCGTCCCCCACCCCCGCAACCATTTACCCAACTGCGTTTTCAAAAGGTTTCCTTTTTACCCTCTCAGAAAAATGAGATGTTTTAGGGGCTCTAGAGATGGCGCAGTGGTTAAGTGCACTCGTTGCCTTACAAAGGACCGAGTTCTGTTCCCAGCACCCACACGGTGGCTCACAATCATCTGTAACTCCTATTCCAGGGACCCAACACCTCTTATTTCTTGTCTTTAACTGCTCTTGCGTCTTGTTTTCCTGAGACTGTGCAGTGCATCATTAGGTTGTTTGTTTGAGAGCACTCTGAGTTGTTCGTGTAAGCACTCAAAGCTGTAACACTCCTCTAGGGGTCTCCTTCAGTGTGTCCCAGAGGTTCTGGGGAGGTGTTTGTCCTTTTTCCTTTGATTCTAGGAACTTAAAATCCCCCCACCCCGATTTCTCCAATCACCAGATATTTGTGTAGTTTCTTTGCTCTTGATTTCTACTTTTACTTCACTGTGATCATACAAGACATTATTTTGGTTCTTTTTTTATGGTTAGACTTGTCTAGTATGTGGCATGTTTTAGAGAAGTTTACATAGGCTTCTTCGAAGAATGTGTATTCCATATCTGTTGTGGGACATACTCTGTGGAGAACAGTTAAGTGCATTTGAGCTGTGGTGTACTTTAACTTGGAAGTTTCCTTCTTGAATTTTGGTTTGAATGAACTATCTAAAGATTAGAGTGGGATGCTGAAATCACCCACTATTACTATATTAAAATCTGACCTTTTATGTCCGTTGTAATTTTGTTAGTTTTTCTGTTTTCAGACTGCTGTTTGTCCTCTCGTTTGTCACCTCTTAATCTTACGGGTCTGCTGTTCTGCCACTTTGGACACCATAGCTCTCCTGTTTCTCTGTTCCTCTCGTGGAACTTGGGAGTCCATTTTCTTTTTCCACTGTGGAATCAGGTCGTGAGGCCTGTACGGCAAGTCCTTTACCCACTGAGCCATCTTGCCGGCCTCCTGGAAGGATCTTTTGTAGCGGTGGCTTGACTGTTGTGAATTGCCTCAGTGTGTGCTTGTCGTGAGGTGTTCTTATTTCTCAGTCAGTTATAAGTGATAGCCTTGCTGGGTAGAGCAGTCTAGTTAGCAGTGCCTTACTGGCAGGGCTGGAAATAATTGTTCCCTGTGTGCACACAGCTCTCCTGGCTTAAGATTACCCATGACAGATCTGACGTGCTTGCCTTTTGAGTCCCTGGGTGTTTTTCCCACACAACTTTTCATATTGTTTGTGTTCTTCGTGTTTTGACGTCTTCACTGTTCCATGTCATGGGGCGGGTCTTCTCTGTCATGTCGTTGGTGCCTCTTGTTTGAGGATCCTTCTTTTTTTACACTTACACTATTTGTTGCTATTGTAATTTCATTGGACAGGTTTCCCTTGCCATTAGGGTTGTCTCAGGACCTTTGTTTGTAAGCATTACGTTTGTATTGGTGATTTATATTTTGCCTAAGAGTAAAAACAAAAACAAAAAACCCAAGTTTCAGTTAAAATGATGCTAGAGTAAAAACAAATGAAAAACAGTGGATGTGAACAGGTATCCAGGATCTTCAAAAGCAAGAACTCTTCCTCCTGTGCTTTCCAACAGAAACAGCATTCCTTCATTTTATAAGAGAAGACCCACAGACCATGCATTCATAAGCAGTGAATGTCCATCTGTGTCTATGACTTTGATTCAGTGGCATTTCCTTAGTGACTCACTTGGAGCAGGAGTGTCTGACAGTGGCTTCTGGGATCCTGGCACAATAAATAGATGAGAAGCAGCAGGTGTGCACAGTCCAGAGCGGCGGTTCTCAGTCTTTCTCATGCTGCGACCCTTAGTACGGTTCCTCACGCTGTGGTGACTCCTAAGCATAACATTATTTTCATTGCTACTTCATAACTGTAATTTTGATACTGTTACGAATTATTATGTAAATATCTGATTTGCAGCCCCAGAGGGTTACGACCCACAGGTTGAGAACCACTGGCCTAGTGGGAACTTCCACACTTACAAAGCCCTCAAACCCACTTCCCCAAAACTTACTCCTTCAGTGTTAGCCTTTGCCACAAAAAAAGGATTTTCAAATAAAGATTGAATAAAGCTGGAGATTTCCTTGACTACTGCTAGATATGTCACACACTGCTGTACGATTTAGTAAATGGTAATTTTGCTCAGTAATTCAATATGATGCTTGAAGTTTGTAGTTCTTTTGGAGCTACTGAAACAAGATAGCGTGACTTGTCTTCCAGAGATGTTGGGTTGACTGGATTGCACTCATGTAATTTCAGTTGAGAAGCCAGCAATTTGTGAATTACAGATTGCTTTTAATGTCTTACAGGATGACCTCACACCTCTCTTACTTGCTGTAAAGGAAAATAAACAGCATATTGTGGAATTTTTAGTAAAGAAGAAAGCAAGTATTCATGCAGTTGATCAGCTTGGAAGGTATAGTAGTTTGTTCTTTCAAGAAGTAGACAAGAAGTTATTCAGACTGAGCAACACAACCTCTAGTTGGATTCACATTCCCTTTTAATGAGTGATATTTGTAACCTAATCTATGATCTCAAATTAGCTATCCCAATTTTATATTAGTTCTAGAAACCTTTAGTTTGCATTTTGACTCAACATTGAATTCTTAATTTTTTGGTAACCTTTTAAACCTCCGCTTATATACTTCTCCTTTTAAGTACAGCCTAGGTAGTTGAGAATAGGTAGAAGTTGCAGGTTACTCTCTCTTTCCACTTTTTGTTTTCAATTACTCTTGTGAAGAATGTCAATGTTATGTTGTCAGGTGACTAATCATCATTACATACTGTTCCTTTTTTCCTGTCTTATTTCTAATAGTCTAACATTTTTAATTAGCTTGAGCAGAAGGGAAGGGATAGCCTGAAATGGCCAATCTCTTCCTTTAATGAAAGTTAAGTCATTGGTGGAAATAATGGGGAAAGAGATAGTTTTAGATTCCCATAGTACTAAGCTTCACTTCCGGCTTCCTCGTATGAAAAGGAGGATAACCTATCCTTTGGGTTATACCAGGCTGAGGGATGGCTCAGTGGGTGAGAGCGCTTGCCGTACAAGCAGGAGCACCGCGGTTCGAATCTCCAGCCCCTGTGTAAATAGCCAGGCGAGGCTGGGTGTGTCTGTAATCCTAACATCGAGGGGCCAGAGATAGGCAGGTCCTGGGGCTTCCTGGCCAGCCTGCCTAGCCTGAAAGGTTTTGGCTAACCAGCCAAAAGCACTTCCGGTCTGGTGAAAGAGCCTGTTTTAAAGGAGTAGGGTGGAGGGTGGTAAACCAGAAGCTCACCTTTTGGGCCAGGCAGGCTGGCCAGCAAGCTCCTGAACCTGCCTTGGCTTTTCAAAGTGTTTAATAGGGATAAAAAGGAAGGCTTTCAGCAGACATCTCTAAATCAAGGAAGATTACACTCCTACAAGACCTAGGACCTCGTCATGACCGACCACGTGTAACAGAGCAGTTTGTCTTCCATGCCGATTAGAGAGAAATGTAGGAGTTAAGCATTGTTTAAAGAGAGAACTCTAGGGTCAGAGCTTGTAGATAGGCAAGGAATAGTGCCCAAGCCAAGTTAATCTTTGTGTTTTCGCCCTTGGTGTGATTGATTAGTTCAGTCATAGGAGACAGTTGCCTAGTTTAATAAGATGCTTGCCAATACATTTAGTTCAAATTACTGTGTAGCTGATTGGGCTCAAACAGCCACAAAGAATTGAAGGGCTAATAATGAAGGTAAACCTCAGTATTTGTAACTAACTACAGCAGTGTTAGAACCAGTGAACGAACACACACTCATTTAGATTCTGCTTGGAACTCCAAAATAGCTTAGCATGGATTTGTATTTTCTCTGTGGATCTTCAGAGGAACTTGGTAACTGTAAGTTCTAAAATGATAATTTTTGAAACGAGGTTTAACCCTAAGAGAAATGCACTACCCAAGAGTAAACCATTGCTGGCAGGGCTGGAGCGCCGTGCTGAGGACACCTTCCACCCTGCCCGCCATTCTCCTTGGCCCGCCATTCTTCCCGTTAGCCCGCCAGCCTTCAGTTCTTTACCATCTCACCTGCATTTTTCTTTCCTCAGAAGCATACTCAAAAGCTTGGAGAGCTTGTACATTTGAATGATGTGGGATATGATTCTGATATTAGCTCTGATTTCATTTGTAATACTGTTATGAAGTTAATATATTTAGTAATTGCTGTGCTTATCAGGATTAAAATGGTAATTTTTGTCATTCTTTTGTAACATAGCAACAGACAATTACTTGAATATGATGGAGAGAGACTAAAATATTCTGAAAATAGCAATCCAGGTAAGATTCCTCCTGAAGAATCACTTTGTGGCCTTCCCTGGGTAAACATGGAAAGTTAAGAAAGTTTTGATCACAGAAGAGCAATATAAAACAAAAATCACTATATAAGTGACATTTGTACCTTTTTCTTTATTCTCAGTCTAGAATTGAGGATTATTTAAGAAATTAGTTAAAGGAAATTTACAGACTAAAAGAATATTCCTGAAAAAAAATTATTTAATTTTAGCCCCTGAAATACATTAAGAAAATTATTTTCAGTTTTTTTTTTTTTTTTTTTTTTTTTTGTTTTTTGAGACAGGGTTTCTCTTTGTAACAACCCTAGCTGTCCTGGAACTCACTCTGTAAACCAGGCTGGCCTCGAACTCACAGAGATGCGCTTGGCTCTGCCTCCTGAGTGCTGGGATTAAAGGCGTGCGCCACCAACGCCCGGCTTATTTTCAGTTATTTTAATGTGGATGTTTCATCCATCCACATTACAACAAGTTGCACTTAGCATAAAATGGATTTTATAGCAAATAGGTTATACTTATTAAGAGAATGTTATTTTAGTTGTTGGAGTCACTAATAAAGTATTGCAACTAAAAATAGCTACACCATTTTTTCACTAATTTTTATCAATTTCTTCCCTAGGTATAGAATTAAAATTGTTCTGTGTGTTTTCAGAGACTTCAGTTTAGGAGAGAATACCAATAATGTCCTTGGATCTTTTCATAGTAGGCTTACTAAATATTTTTTCCAACAATAAATAACTTTTTTTTTCTTTTGTTACTGTGTGTACGTGTGTGTGTGTATGCACGCACTGAGAATGGAACCTGGGGCCTTACTTGCTAGTTACCTGCTAGTAACTTTAGTGTTGGGGGAAGTTTTAGGTTCACAGCAAAATTAACAGGAAGGAACAGAATCTCCCATGTACCCTGTGACTCCCAAAGGTACATAGCCTCTTACATTGTCGCCACGCTCTACCCAAGTAGCGAGTGCACCTGCTAAGACTGTTCACTACATTGACACAGCGTTGTTACTCCAGTGTGTCTAGCTTACATGTGCTTCACTTGCAGTCCTGTACAGCCCTCGGCTTTAGGCCAGCGTATGACTTGTAGTTACCACTCTAGTTTCCAAATCAGAATAATTCCATTGTCTTAAATATTCCCTGGACTCCACCTATTTCTCTCTCCTGGATCCCTACCCCCTGGCAGCCACTGCTCTTTTGACTGTCTTCAGAATTTTACTTTTTCCTGCATAGTCCTGTATTTGGAATAATACAGTGAGTGTGTTTCCCAGTGTTTGGAACGTTAAGTTCACTACCAGGGTAACTGAACATAGTCATTTAAGGTATCCTTGCTTCCACCACACTGCCAGGCCCATTCTGTTCTGTTCTGTTTTGTAGGGCATGTTCCCTACCACTGAACAAAGCCCCAGACTTGGCCTAAGTAGCATCATGGGAAATGCCAAGACACTGAGTAGTTTGTTTAATTCATACTTTGCATTTCTTTTACCAAGGGAAGCCAACAGTTGTTGCATTCTGAAAACTTGAGTTAATAGTCTTATTTTTATACATTTAAAAAAAAAAAAAAAGACCAGCTATGGCCTGGAAATTGCACAGTACTCCAAGATTGTGCTTATTTGTGGCAGGGTTTTTATCCTCTACTGCAGCATTGACTGAAAATCTGGGAAAGCTGTGTTGTATCATAACAAAATAATTGTACTTCTGTAATTGTTCCCAGTGCTATTAGTCCGGAAAAATCCTGCCTGTGATCTGGATCCTGCCAATTATGCCATCTCCTGTCGCTCTGATACTGTTCAGTTAGGACTGTGGTCACAGTACTGTCTGTTTTCCTTTAGGGATCAGATTTTTATACATTCTGTTCTTTCTTGGATTCGATAAACACAAAGAAGGTGGGACAAGCATCCTTAATGGATCAATTACCTATCAGTAGTATTATTAGCATTCATTCTAGGATAGCCTCTAGGTGTGGTACCAAAGAGAAGCATTAATAATAATAACACATTGTTCTAGTGTTAATTTTAAATGTACTTTATGTTTTTCTTTAACAGTGGATAACGGTTCTGAAGAGGAATCTTTAACCAGGTGGGTAGGAATATATAATATTGTTAAAATTGAATGTTAACTGATTCGAGAATGCAGGGGATAGAAACAGATTTGTTAAGTGTTCTGCTGCGAGCTAGATATAGTGTGGTATGATTAACGTTTCTTTCTTACAGTGGCCACAGGGCTTTGCAGAGCATCTGCTGTTGTTAATCCACCTCCCCCCTTCTGCTTTCCTTACAATGCATTAAGCAGCAGTCACTCAGAAAGAGTAATTAGCGTATGATCCCATGGTTAATTGGTACCTTATCTATGATTTGACTTTCTATTTTAACAAAGGTTTATTCATGCTAAGTTTTTTTAAATTATTATTTTATGTTAATGAGTGTTTTGCCTGCATGGAAGTCTGTGCCCATGTGTGTGCCTGGTACCATGGAGACCAGAGGAGGCGATCAGATTCCCTGGAACTGGAGTTACAGGTGGCTGTGAGCTGCCCATGTGGGTGCTGGAAACCGAACTTGGGTCCTTTGGAGGAGCATCCAGTGCTCTTAATTGCTCAGCCATCTCTTCAGCTCCCAAGTCTGCTGCCCCTCTGCATAGATTGATGGGGGCCTGTGCAGCACTGAATAAGATTTAGGGCAGGACAGTTTAGAAAGTCAAATGCAGTTATGCTGACTTTGATCTAAGTCTTCCTTAGAAGTAGTTATACTCCTAGAGGTTGCCCTGCTCCTGCATAGTGAGTGCTTTTAACTGCATCATCATCTACCAGTTCACTTCTCGTTTCTTTAACTGCTTTTTGCCTTTATTTAATTTTCATAACTGATTTTTCTCAACTAAAATATTCTTTCCCATTTTCTTTTTGTCAGCTAAGTATTCCTGACACTCTTTAGACAAAGTGAAAACCACTAGAATTTCAGAATTTTAAGGAAACTTAGAGAGTTTCTGCTGAAAACTGTTTAAAAATAGTTTGAGCTCCTGGGCAGCCCTTTAGCAGACAGGAATGTGGCTCTACATCCGCTGTCACCCCACTTCACAGGAGCCCCTCGCGTACCAGCAGACTGGAGGTGCATGAGTCTGTCCTGTGTCAGATGTCCCCTTATCTGTGCCTCTTCCCAGCTCATGTCCTTATGGGTAGGCCACAGTAGGGTTAGCCAGAAGCCTGGTCAGTCACAAGCTTCCAGGGGGCTGGCAGGGGATGGAGACATCACTCACAGGAAGATACAGTTGCTTCCTGTCATCATTTGAGCCCACCCTTATCTCAGGACCCGTGCCTTCACAAGGTGAAGGTTTAAAGGTTGAAAATTGCCATTGAGCCTGCAGAAAAGGGACCTGGGAGTGGAAACCTATAGGGATGAAGGTATTTAGCTGTTCATAAGGAAGTAAAAGGTACAAGGTCCGAGTACCTATGATGGCTTTCAAGGGATTGGTAGTTTGTGTGTACTTAAGTAAGACATGACCTATTTAGGAAAAATTAATTAGATTTTTATAGTTTTTAACATTTTAATATCTAGAAAATGTATTTCCAACAACATTAGCTTGTACTTCAGTGTACTTAAAATAATTTTCAAACCCTTTAAATATTTCGTAGGGTTCTGTATACTGCTTTATGGTACCTGGAAGCTATAGGGTCCTAGGTCTTACTACATAACCCTCCCCGGCCTTCAGCACTTCATGTAATCAGACTGGCCTTCAGCTTGTGGCAGTCTGACCCTCTTTGTGATTGTAGGCATGTGCCATCAGTCCTGGCCTGAAAGGGTCTTAATCCGGTCATTTTCAGACTGAGTACAAAGCTGCCATCTTTGACAGGGTTTGTCCCATGTGTTAGGTCAGCAGATTCTCTTCAGTTTTGCAGACAAAAGTGATGTCAGACATCCACGAGGTAACTGCTTGTTCCTAGATTTCTTTTAAGACCTCGGCTTAGGATGTTTGTTGGCTATTGTCCTAAGGTCTTCCAATACACCTGATCCTGCTGATTCCTGGCCTACATCAGATGAAGATGACTACAATTTTGATAACAAGGTAAAATGAAGTTTCGTGAAAATAATGGTTTTGTTTTGTTGGTGTTTGCTCTTAGATTTAGTCGTGATCTATCACTGTTTTATGTGGAGTATTGATCAGAGAAAACTACTTAGTAGAACAGTGACTAATCAAATTTTTTTATTTTGATGAATATCAAAGACTGATTGTTCCTTGGGGTGGTAGAAGCTACAAAAAGAAATGAACCAGAAAATCCACAGTGACAGGAAAATTCCATCAAGGAAAACTTCTTACAATATAGAAAATATGAGATTGAACCAAAAATTACTTCAATAAATATACCTTATTAACACTTGTAAATTATATGGATATGACTTTTATAATATACCCAAATTAATATCTGATGGGCTTAGTTAGTTTAGTAAATCGTGGACTCTCCATGGTGCCTTTATGTTCAAAGTTATAAATACACAGCATACAGTTTCTGTCTCTTTTGACTTAGACACCTCTTAGTATGATATAGTTTTTGTTTTGTTTTGTTTTTTGTTTGTTTTTTTTTTTTGTTTGTTTGTTTTTCCAGGACAGGATTTCTCTGTATAACCCTAGCTGTCCTGGAACTCACTCTGTAGACCAGGCTGTCCTGGAACTTACAGAGATCCACCTTCCTCTGCCTCCCAAGTGCTGGGATTAAAGGCGTACACCAACATTGCCTAGCTGTATGATATAGTTTTTAGGTGAGCTTTTTCTATTATTTCTATCCTTAGTCTGCATATAAATTACCATAATACCAGAAATTGTAAAAATGCTCCAACTTAAGTCTGTTTATTACAGTCTGTATTGAGAGGGTTTTCCCACATCATTCCCTCCAGTTTTAACTATATGCTTGAAGAGTAAATGTTCTACCCCAAATAAAGTCTTATGAATTTCTAGAACTATGGCTTACCATTATATTCCTTTTTAATGTAAACTCAGGTGCATTGTGTCGAGGAAATATCACGTATAAAAAACATAAAGTCTATTGAATTTCTAAAAACATGCTTGCTTTTTATTTCCTTTTGAGGTTTGGATGTAAACTCATGTGAGCTACACTGAGCAAATGTCATATAAAAACAAAACAAAACAAAAGCAGATTAGAAAATTATCATGAAAAGGAAGAAGGCACCAGTAGATGTCTACTGTCCTGAAACTGAATTTTCAGTTATCAATGAGATGATTAAAATATCTTAAACTTATCTTGAGACCCTCCCCATATTGGATTAAATAATCTATATTTTTGAAGCTTTATATATTACTCATAGAATTTTGATTAACAAATCTTCTCCAGGTAGGACATTAATGAAACATTATTTTTGCAATGTTTCCTTCATCTGATAATGATGTTATATCTCTCAGGTGATGGTAGATAACCATGATTAACTAATAAAGCATTATTTTATAGTACAGAATTAAACTTTTCATTTTAGTAATATCTACAAATTATAACCACAAATCATTACTACGGATGTACTGTGAATCAAGGCTCTCATACTTCTGTACAAATCTTAGGCTTCAATGTTGTACTGGATTGTTTTATGTCAACTTGATACAAGCCAGAGTTATCTGAAAGGGAAAAACCTCAATTGAGGAAATGCCTCCATAAGATCGGAGTATAAGGCATTTTCTCAATTAGTGATCAATGGGGCTAGGGCCCAGCCCATTGTAGGTAGAGCCATCCCTGGGCTGCTGGCCCTGGGTTCTATAAGAAAGCAGTCTGAGCAAGCCATGGGGAGCCAGCCAGTAAGCAGCACCCCTCCATGGTTTCTGCATCAGCTCCTGCTTCCAGGTTCCTGGCCTGTTTGAGTTCCTGTCCTGACTTCCTCTGATGATGAACAGCAATGCTGACGTGTAAGACAAATAAACTCGCTCCTCCCTAACTTGCTTTGGTCCTGGTGTTCATCGCAGCAGTAGTAACCCTAGCCAGGACAGGTCTTCTCCTTTCTTCTTCACTTAAACTCATTCAGTATTTTCCTCCCTCCTTCACTCTTTCTGTCCCTCCCTTGCCATTTGCATGTCCACACTTTCCCTCCAGGATACATGTCCCATGTCTTCAGTGCCTAGTGTCGGTGTTTTTCTCTTCACGGTTGGCATATTAAGTCACATCCTCTCTTTAGTTGTGTGTGTGGCTTTGCCAGTCTTTGCCCCACAGTAAAAAATACTTATTCTTTTTTCCCTTCTCTCCTAGAAAGAGCTACATATATATAAATAGTTTATTTTTTGCTTTTTGGCACACAAGGTAGAATAACTTACACTGTTTTCCCACAGCTGTAGACAAATCAGCCCTCATAGTTTCTCCTCTAAAAGTAATTTATGCAAATGTAAGTCACGGTAGTGCGTTGAAAGTAGTTTAAATTTCTTAAATGTTGATGTTTTCAGAAGTACTCTAAATTGTGATTAATTTTTGTTGTAGGTTATTTTCCTTTAAGTAATACACTAAAGGATATCACAAAATTGTGTAATAATTAGGTAAAGGAAAGTAAAATTTTGGTGATATTTGTATCCCATGATCTACGCAGTGGAGGTTTGTGGTTAGTGAATGGCAGGATTAATATTTGAATCTATCTGAAGGATTCAGAAACATTCTTTGTGTTAGATCAGATAATAAGAGTGAATATTAGAATTGTTTTATTTTTATTATATGTTAATTTTGAAATGATTCTTGTTTTTCTAGAATGTCCCCAAAATTAACTTAACAGAGCTGTGGACAGCTGCTCAGCGGTCCAAGAAAAACCGTAAGTCACTTGCACAGGCCTCTTCTTCTGCTGCCCATTGGTCTCAAAGCAGATGTCCTCATGTGGTCTTTCTGTCGTGTTTTGTTCTGTAATAGAAACAAAATGTGGCTTTGAGAACCTAGGAAGTAGAATCCTGCTTGACAATAGTAATTCCAATAGTGAAGATGAAGATGGAGTTGAAATCGGGCCTGGACCACCAGCCAGAGTCCAGACCTTTTCTCCATCCTGCCAGTCACCTGATCCAATGGTTTGTAAATTCTTTTATCTTTAAAGCTCAGGAATCGCTTTTGATTGGATGGGGTTTTGCGGGGAGGGGTCCTTTCTCCTTTCATGTAAATATTGAGTCATGTTCTTTTTTACAAAGATTTATTTATATGAGTATTTTGCTGCATGTATGTATACTTGTAGGCCAGAAGCATCAGGTGCCCTGGAACTGGGCTTACATATGGTTCTGAGCTCCCATGTGGGTGCTGAGAATTACAGTCATGTCCTCTGAAACACGGCAAGTCTCGTAACTGCTGAGCTCTTTCCAGCCCCATACACTGCTCTTCCATTGCTCAGGTCTGCCTTCTAGGTCCTCTATACCCCGTTTGGTACATCGCAGACTGAAGGCACTGACCTTTATCTCACTGTGACTTGCTGTCACCCGTTTTCACTAAACAGTAAATGGCCCCCTGTAAATTGCACTGAAATACACTGAAGTTGGATGTTTTCCCCATAGGAAGGACCAACTAAGCCTGCAATTGGAAGAGAAGAAAATGTTGCTGATGCTGTTGAAAGGACTTCACAAGAAAACGGTGCTGATGCTGTTGAAAGGACTTCACAAGAAAACGGTGCTGATGCTGTTGAAAGG